TGGACCCAGTACTGATCCCTGGGGAACACCTGGGACCTTGGTAAAGGCAGCTGCTGAGCAGTTTAGTCTTCTGCCGAGGAATTAGGTTGTTAAGTGTTTCTACACATTTCTGTGGCTTGCGAGCTTCAGAACATTTTGCTCCAAAGTATTCCTTTGGATAGGATATGAGTGCTGATAGATCATCTCCGTAGCTTTTTTGGCGCTAGTGGACCGTGATACGATGATAAGATGGCTTTGTCACCTTAACGAGAGGGAGATCTTGTGGAGAAGGTTTTGCAGATGAAGGAGGTGAATTAACCCGTAGGCAGTTTTTGTTCTGGATAGGGACAGGCGAGGTAAGGGTGAAATCAGAATTCTAGAATTACCTGGCAATAATTGTACGTGACTGTGTAACGAATGGGTCGTTTCAGGAAGTTCGGATTCCAGCTCGCCTTCCAACAGCCCAGGTTTTTGGAACTACAGCCGTCCCATGGCAGACTACGCGCAGATGCTGAGGAAGTTCCAGTATCAGCTGGCTTGCAGGTCCCAGGCTCCGTCAGCACACAAGGATGAGGCCGATCTGAGCTCGAAACAGGCTGCAGAGGAGGTAATTTCGGCAGCGAGGTGGTCGAGAGGCCTCTAAAATACATGGCTTTTGGCAAAGGTTTGCATTTGAGCTGTATCAAAAGCGCATGAGGGAGAAATCCTCTAGCACTTAACCATCTTCATAGGGCTTCACTGAAAATGGACTTTCCAAATTCCGCATGGTAGTTGGAAAATCATTTCTCCCTTGGAGAGTAAGATATACTTGGGATAAAATACATTTGCGGCATAAAAATGGAGCTGAAACTTCAGTTTCAGCTGAAGGATATAAAGCATAAAGCCTTTCCGCCTGTGTCTGAGAGAGGTCTCACGTGAAGAACTCCAACTCGTGGCTTCAGTTAAATTTGATCAATGTTCTTTGTTTTACACGTTAACCTCATGAAGCTTCCTGTTCAAACACCTCTTAAATCAATCCTACCAGTTTTATCCTCATCGAGTGCAGAGGTTAAAACAATTTGAGCTCACGTGAGGTGATTGTACCCTGAGCGGAGAATCGTAGAATCCTAAAATGTCTCAGGCTGGAAGGGACCTCAGAGACCATCTGATCCAGCCCTGCCATGGGCAGGGACGCCCTGAACCAGCCCAGGTTGCTCCCGGCCTCATCCAA